ATATATATATATATATATATATATAAATAACACGGCACAATCCATCGTCATCTTTACCACCAACAGGCTGCAGCCATGCCTCATTTTCCAGCCACTTTCGTTGAAATTAGCATTTTCCCATTCTCTAGCTTTTTCTTCGCCTCAAGCTTCTTCTTCTGATGAAATTGTTTTTATAACGTTTTTTTTTTTTTGTAAATACAGCATTAACAAATTTTAATACCAATTAAGGCCTTAATTTAGAAAATATAATAATAATTCAATGACTTTTAATGATTTTGAATGACCCACGGAAACCCTGATATAGTCTTTAAACTGTAATAAATAGGTGCTAAATGTGATCTCGGATGCAACCTCCCCTTTGCTCTGGTGCAGCAGGATGCTGCCTGCCAGCCTCCAGGAGAAATCCCAGTTGAGGTTTGAGCCTTCGTGCATTGAAGCAACCAGTAGAAAGCAGGCCTCTGATTGGATAATAAGCAAAAAGCCATCCCTTAATTGAGGCTAAGCCTCTAAATGGTCTATGAGCAGGTGTGGGCGGGTCGTGAAGCTGGCTATTTGATGCTGATTGGGAGAACAGGCTGAAAGCTTTGACTGACAGCGGCCAGGCGCTCATAAGACTCAGACTAGAGAAGGAAAAATATGTCCATTCCTGTGCTAAACTCTTGCTGTGGTTTCTGGAGTTTACTATTTCAGAGTGCTTCACAACAGCTATTTTCACTCATTGTAGTAATGTGTTTTATGTGTTTCAACATTTGTTGATGCAGAATGCTGAATTCAATTAAAACCAGTCATCCTCATCTGTTTCAGACTGCAGCAGCCGTCACTGGAAGAAGCATATTGACAAAGTAAAAGCAGACAAAATCTACTAGGGGATATGGAGTGAATTTTGTTCCAATTTTTGTTTCAAACAAAGAAAATGTTTTGTAAATAAAAAAAAATGCAAGCTAGGAATAAAACTTTGAAAAAAAAAAAATCATCATAACATTTTTTGCAGATTACATTATCTTCACTTCATGCCCAATACAAACATTTGCAGTGTACCAATAAAATGTTGCTGATAGCTTTCATGTAGACTAATAGAATTGCTTTCTGCTCGAGAGAAAAGCTCACCCCCAGAAGTGAAAACAATGTAATCTGTAAAACTCAATCTGTAAAAATCTGTAATGTGTAAAAAAAAAAAAAAAAAACAATACATACAGTAAACTACAAAAATATAACCTTGGTTTGAAGTCCTTATTTGGCCTTTTAACAAAATATGTAAAAAGAAAAAACAGAAATACATTTTTGATATTAATAATTTATTACTATGCGAAAAGTCAAGATTATTTTTTGTGTAGTCTTCGGCCCTCTGTTATCAAGTATATCTGATTGTGTACAATAGGATTTTGAGAAAAGTTTTTACCATTAAATTATGCAAAAGGTGTCAGATGCAAAACATTTCAGAATTGAATTGAATTTTAAATTTTTAAAAATTTCCATTTGCAAAATGAGTTATTTGCTTGCATATATGGGTACTATATGCCATTATTTGCTTGCAAATAAGTGGTTTAAAGAATTTCTTTCAACAAGTTGGTTGAAATGTGAATAGCTAAACGGAGGAAGGATCTTCTATAGCTGCACGTCTTACACTGAATGTATACAAGACTTCAACTGAAGACACTGTTGTTTTTAACAGTGTTTTGAAGAGGATGTTCATGGTTGTTCATGGTGTTCTTCACTTTATGAGGATTTTTTTTTTCTAAAATCATCTCCAGAGGTTCTAGAGGAATTCACAGAACAGTCTTCTTTATTAGCTTGTTGAGTTTCTGTAAGTCATTTGCTCTGATACTGTTACAAAAGCAGATGATGGCAGAAAAGATCTGATTCTGTACAACAAACAGAGAAGATATGCAACATCTTGCTGAAAACACTGAAGGACCCAAGGTACCTTCAGAAGTGCATTGCAGAAGATAGAAATATCTTGTCCTGGATAATGCTGAGAAACCAGTCATGCTTTTGTTACTTTAAGGCGACTATTGTAATTCTTTAGAAGCAACTTCTGTGATCTGAGTAAGATTACAATTTCTGTCATTTCTGTTGTCATGTTTGATGGTTATTTAATGCTTAGAAGTTATGAAGTGTTATTTAAAGATGTTGTCCCGAGTGATCTCTTTACAGGGAATCAAACCGGAGAGAGAAAGCTTCAAGATGTAGACACAGAGATTAATGAACACATCTTTAACGTAACCTCGTGATTAGAAAAAGATCATGACGCTCCAAATAACTAATAAAGAATAGTTTTAAAAGTAATTAAGTAGGTTGCGTAATGTCTAACTATATGATCAAATACCTAACCAGAATCATGCCACAGTTGGTGATTAAAAATATAATAATGTTTTCTTCTGCAACTTGCTAAACATATGTTGGTAAGGGTGTATGTATATTTGTCTGTGTGTATATTTTTTAGGCCAACAAAAAAAAAAAAATAATTTGTATATGCAATATCTGATTTAAACTTATTAAAAGATAATTTAGCTTTGGAAAAACAACATTTTGGTTGCAAAATTAAAAGCTTAAAACGGATCTAACGTTGCATGATCAGAACTGTACTTGCAAGCTGGAAATATAGCCGAGACACTGCAGGAGCAGAACAACATGCGGAGGCAACAAGTTATTGATGAAGGAGACGTCGTCCTCTGACACAGTCCTTTCCTGCCGCCTGGGCCGGAGCTGCGTTTTGTGCTGCCCGTAATTGTCTGGAGGATTGATTCAAAGCAATGTTCCATCTCACTGACCGTAATCAAGACTCATTATTCATTCTTTACCAACCCAATTTTGATGCTGGCGACACAATGGCCGACCTTTAAGCTGCGCTTCTGCCTGGTGACTGTATGACCACTGCCTATCAACCTCTTCTTCCCTCTTTACTAATCATCACTTCAGAATAATCTTCTCTCATTCTCATATTTTGCCCCTATATTTCACACAGACATGGCGTCATTGGAAATTCTCCTTCGCTCTTCTCCATCACTTAAATTTCGCACTTTAATCCATTCATGATGAAATCAAGATCCAACATTTGGATGTTATAATCTGCATAATTGTCCATATTTATAATCTTTTGCTTAAACAGAGAACAGCAACAGTGCCATAACTGTCCCCATTTTCTCTCCCTTTTAGAAAATTAGAGGGCATAAGAAACTGCTAATTTCTGCCATTATTACCAAGCAGACTTTGCACTGTTAATCTACAATAAGTGAAATTCATTATCCCAATGAAAGGGTCTCTTGGAGAGAAGATTGGGATAGGAGAAAGATGAGCGATGATCAATAACTCAATCTGTTGCCCTGCATGAGGCTCTATCTCCTCTGGCCCCGACTGTCACTGCATCTAAGAAGGAGCTGCAGCACTGTCCTAACAACACGCAGAGCAATCAATGGACACAATCTAATCAGCCACTATCACCACCAATGACTTGTTGCATGTAGGTCCCGACATAATAGCGCCAGGCAGTGGTTGAAATGTGCAGAAAGTTCAAATGCGTTGAGGGTTTGAGAAAAAAGAAGAGTAAAAACTAAAGTAAGCTGATGAAACAAGCAGGAAGAAAACAAGAAAGTGTGTTTTTTTCTTTTATTTTTTTAACCAATCAGTATAAAAGATCTGAAAGCAGAGGGAAAGCAATCCTGAGAGTAGTTTGTCTTGTTTTATTGTATACTGAAACTTCAAGACTGGTTATGAATCAATATTCCTGAGTTTCAAAGCTCATGAAATATAAAAAAAAAAAAGAACACAGAGGGAATTCATCACTGCAGCCATCAGTTTATGTCTCGCTGCTGCAAACTGTTAAACCAAGAGAAATCTGCAGCAGGCAACAGACAATTTCAAGTCTCACATGCATCACCAGTCCAAAAGTTGCAGGTATAATTACTTACTCACGATGAACCTGGAGGTGTATCCACACTTTTATATTTGTCACACTCTTTGCATTTCACATAAATGAATTCTGTGTCAGGGATGGCACTAATGGAACCAGCCACAATGAATTTGATTAAGAAAAGATCGCTGTGCTATATCATAGCACTTGTGTTTGTTCTCACTTTACACGCCGGTGCAAGATGAAGTCGACAAAACCTTCTTTTCTCTTTTCTAATCTCTCACCTCATGTGTCTCTCAGTCGATGATAACACACAAAATATAATAACTGTGCTAAGTAGGGAGCTCACACATATTAGGGGCTCTAGACAAAAAGATGGTAATCACAGGGTACCAGTGAAATCCAAGAAAACCACATAAAAACAAAAATG